CAGAAAATCTACCCAATAACTTTATCTAGAGCTTATCCTGCCGATAATATTTAAACGAGGTTCGAAATACCCGAAGCGACGCTAACTGTCGGTTTACCTGGAAGATATCTTATACTTGACTTTATCCCCAGATGGAAATACCGGCCCTAAATCTCTATTTACTCTATCACACGCTATCGCTACATCACTGGGTTCAAACAAATAGTATATTTGAGTGTCATCGGCGTATAGGTGATATTGACAGTGTAGCAAGTTTTCTGGTATTGCCGACGTGTAGATTGTGAAAAGCAACGTTCCCAAAACAGATCCTTGCAGAACGCCACAATTTAATAAACTCCAAGATGAGCGATTGAACCATTACAAACGTCACTTTGAAGCCTGTTGGTTAAGTAGCAGCGGTACAGAGTATACGCTAAAATCCCTCCCGAGGCATCGACTACTATGGTCATTTGCACCATACACCAGTGTTATTTAGATTTTACATATTAGACCAGTATTTTTAAGATACGTTATAGTGATCTTCATTACATTCTCCACAACATTATCAAAACCCACACGTCAGCATTTTGTATATCGTTTTAACTGCACAGCAAATCATTACATCGTCGACAAACATTTCTCCACATCCTCAGCGACATCCATGGAAATACCAAACAGGGAGCACCTAAGAGGTGACGTTTGTAACCTCTTATTGGCCATCCTTCCCAATAGTTTACTCAGTCACGAGGTTAAACTTATTAAGTAGAATAATTCCAGCAGCATTTTAAAAAGAATGTCTTTCATTTCAGGACTACTGTGGCGACGCATTGGTTCTGCCGTCCTGTCCCGGTGAGCATGATTGGATCACTTCCTTCACTCAACGATATTTTGTTTTTCGAGGTTAAACACTCTTTGGTCTTTTTGAAACGTACTGCATTTTTACGTTCCCCAAACCGTGAACGCAACTGGTTGCGCTGACCAGCTAGAAAACGTACTGAGTGCCAAACACTCCGTTTCCTACACAGTGAGCGCAACGCCAAGTGCTTTACTATTATTTTGCGCATATTTATTCACTTGCTATGGTGCCAGTGAGACGTCCAACTGCAAATTAGAAGTATTATTCCGCATATTTTCTTTGTGTTGTGAAAGTGAAAGGCATTCAAACAGAGCACTGAGATTGTCCAGATGGGGAAGAGGAAAAATTTTGTAAACATTTGTGCGTAGTTTACAATAGTGGCGTGAATCTATTACATGCCCCTGATTTGAATTATAAAGACCAAGTTGAGTTAGCAACAATAGCTTTAGGTATTGGAGTCGACAATTCTTTTTTTATGGGAATGGAGGAAAATATTGTCTTAGTAAAAAATCGACAAAGACAAAGACAATACTGAGTTCACCAAATCAATGCAAGCAAATAAGACAGTTGAGAAACAAAAAGAGATAAAAAAAGATGAGATCAATAAGTAAAAATATTAATCTCAATCAAACCAACGCAATCAGTCATGGAGGTAAACATTAAAATGTTCTACATGGTTGCATGTTTACTGCATTTAATCATAATTTATTAGATACAGGGTGATTCCTATAGTACCTGCCACCGTTTGGGAGCGTATAGGGGGTGCCTAGGGGAAGTCTTTTCATATAGGACACTTGGGGTCGGAAATCCAAAATAAGGGCGCCAGAACCAAATTTATCTTCTGGAATTTCACGCCTGTATGTAGGCAACCCAACCGACCGACGTTTCGCGCGGAGCGATGCAGAGCGAGTTAGCGCGAGGAAGCGACATGGGAGGGAAGGAGGGAAAACGACAGTCAAAAGCAATAACGTTTACAAGTGTTCAACGTGGCCACCGTTGTTCTCAATGCACTTCCTACATCTAGCCAACCACTCCCCTCGAACTCGCGTGAAGACTCCTATGTCCTGGCGAACAGCCTCTCCGGCCATGACGACGCGCGCAATTAAGTCCTCTTCGGATTCGACGGGAGTCTCGTAGACGTGCGCTTCCATCACACCCCACAAGTAAAAATCTAATGGGGTGATGTCGGGCGAGCGGGCAGGCCACTCCACCGCACCTCCACGGCCGATCCATCTGTCCGGATAGGTTTGGTCCAAGTGTTCCCTCACCTGCCGCCCGTAGTGAGCAGGGCACCCATCGTGCTGGAACCAGTGGTCCCAGTACAAGTTCACTGGAACATCCATTAAAAGTTCTGGTAGCACCTCGCGCAGGAAAATCAGGTAATTATGGGCATTTAGACGCGGAGGGAGGATGTAAGGCCCCAGTAGGTTGTCCCCCAGGATGCCAGCCCAAACGTTTAAAGAAAACTTGTCCTGGTATCCTCGCGTAAACGTTTCATGAGGATTGTGCTCCGCCCAGTAGTGGCTGTTACGAGGATTGAAGGTCCCCTCTCTTGAGAATCCTTTCTCGTCAGTAACTAGCACGCTCCTCAGAAAGTTCGGATTAGCTTCTTCCTCCTGGACGACTAAGTTGCAGAATTCCAGCCTCCTTTCATGGTCACCCGGCCGTAACTCTTGCACTTTCTTAAACTTATAGGGTGTAAGTTGTTGTTGTTGGCGATGTTCCACACTGTGTGTTGACTACAACCCACCTGATCTGCTACAAGTCGAGTGCTAGTACGCGGGTTTGCCTCGAAACGTTCCAACACATCCTCCTCTAAGGCATTTACCAACGGGCGATCGCGATCACGGGCGCTAGTGGGCTGCGAAATAGGAGGAGGTCGGTGTAAACAAACAAACTTTTCGAAATGGTGCTTAAATGACCCAAGTATCGATGTGCATCACGAATCTGTGTGTAAAGTTAAGCCTCCGTCAGCTTACCTGCAATTGCCCTGTCTCGCACAGTCGGAAGTGAACTTCTTGAAAGACCTGTCTGCAGGGTAACTGACGGTTTGGATACCGCTCAGCGTACGCTCGTCGTGCAGCTCGTGCGTTACCATTTGCCAATCCGTACATGAAGTGCATGTCCGCGTATTCCGTGTTAGTAAAACGTGCCATAGTGTTTATTCACTTGATACGCGTCGTTGCAGACGGGATTTCGTGGGTTTAAACAAAATTCTGATCAAGTGTCAGCCACACATCGCCGCCTGAGATCGCTCCGTGTGCACCGCCGGCCGGTTGGGTTGCCTACCTACAGGCGCGAAATTCCAGAAGGTAAATTTGGCTCTGGCACCCTTATTTTAGATTTCCGACCCCAAGTGTCCTATATCAAAATACTCCCTTACGCACCACCTACACGCTCCCAAACGGTGGCAGGTACTATAGGAATCACCCTGTATGTATTTATTAGGTACCTATCAAAATATTTGTATCTATATTACACATTAAAATGAAAATAAACATTACAAATTAATACCTATACTGCATCCATTATAAGAAGGTAGTAGATGGCGCTGTGTTTGAAGATAAACACACACAGGAAAAATATAAAATGGAACCAAATTATTGTCAAGTAGAAATATTCAGCACTGCGAACAAAAATAATCTTTGACAATAACAGCTAATGACACTTCGGCAGTTTAGTTGACAACATAAACTACCGCCTTACAAAATTCACTAGTCGTTTTATGTTTCATTGTAATACTGACTCATGTTTTAACCAATCACAGTGAAGGTCAAAGCTTCCCTATGATTTCTACCGCTACCTTCTTAAAATGAATACAGTATAGCTTCTTTTTATTACTGATATTACTAATGACCTGTCAGGCGTTTTGAGTACCTATCACTTACGCACCGTTGCGCCCACTCTCTAGGAAATGGAGTATTTGGCACTCAGTACGTTTCTTCCTAGCTGATCAGCGCAACCAGTTGCGTTCACGGTCTAGGGAACGTAAAAATGCATCCCGTATTAGGCCACATTGTCTCTTAAAATCATTCCTTTGAGTAATAAGCATAATCTGAGAAAGTATTGTAAATGGATCAAATCCTTCAAACAACGAAATCGTGACGAAAAAGAAGCACATACTCGTCTTTATGATATTATAATTAAAGGTTTCAACAAAGAGAATTGATTTCTGCCAACTGCCGCCCTGCTCTCCGCCCCTTATTGAGATATATTTGATGCTGGATATTTGGAAAATGGACTGTTGGATGAGAGTATTTACAAACTAAACATCAAACGCCTGCATGCGACTTACCTATTGGCGGGGTCAAAACTTTTATGTGCGAATATCTCCAAAACGGAGTGTCGGAGGAGAGTACTCACAAAGCGAAAATGAAACGTCTACACGACAGGCATGTCTTGATCTGCCAGAACTTTCACATCGAGAATAAAGTATCGGAAAGTCTCACAAAGAGGAAATGGACATTTAGATGAGCGGTATCTATGGGTGGCTCAAGTGTGAATACGTTAAGAACGGAGTATTGTTTTGGTTTAAATAATGCGCCCGCATTCAAATCTGATAATTCAAATGGTAGGATTAGCCGTAACAAACCAAATAATAAATTAACTGAAACTGAAAACCTGATCCTCTTGGTCTGTGTTCTTCTCTAAATACCTAATTGATGTACCGAGAGTGATAGTAATAGATGGCATGTCCTTTTAAACTATATTGGTGCATGTCTGTATCTAGTTATACCTACATCTATGATGCTGACGCAAGGAAATTTTGTTATACACACAGTTTTGCATCTGAAGGTTTTTTAACAAGAAAAGTAATGACATCAACAAACCACAAAATTGACTAATTTCACGAAAATGCTCTTGATACTAGTTAAGGTGCCATCGATGAGACACTAATTGTTGTGAGAAGAAGTACTCGATAACATGAAGAGACTACTGCAACTGTATCTTGAACATGATACTCCGGAGATGAAAAGCAAACTGTTACCTGAAAATTGTCCATTTTCTGAGTTGTATTTTTTTATTTATCTGTAAGATCCATCATTGTTTTACAAATGTTTTAGCAGACACTCCAAATATTTGAATTTGATTGTCACCCTGTATGTATATTATAATAATAGCGTTATCCCTGGCACACACGGCATAAGCTTACAATTGAACTTACCTTCATTATATATTACCCTGAAAGAGTCGGAGTGTAGATGTCCAAAAAACTGACCCACTATTATATCCGAATATTTTCTCACTAATTGGATGTAACGTCTATTGTGATAATCAGTATATGCAAAAGCCAACGATCCTCTCTGACGTTCGTCCGATCCTGGTGGCATATGGCCAACCAAATACACCTGAAACAAAGTGTCTATTTAGTATAGGATACGATTATGAGTTTGTAAGAAAGCTTAATCTATTCTGAATCCTGATGTACCTAACTTAAAACGGTTTAAATTTTAGATAAGAATGCAAAGTAGGTAAGTGCCGGTACGGCATCCTTTTGGATTTGCAATATCAGTAACTGCATGTTCTACATAAAGAAGTTGCCGCTTTACGACTTTAACTTAGATGCATTATGAGATATTCATTTTATACGCGTCTGTACCGTGCAATATTGCAAATATGATACCTTCTAAAACTTCCGATCCCAGTTCTGCATTATTGCTAATCAACTGCTTGCAAAACGTAGTAGTCAATTATACCGAACACAAGTGGAGGGTTAATTTTGTAGTGTATTATTGAGCTTAATAATCAACCCTTTACAGGAATATATGTATCTATAGTGACGATGATCATTAATTTTACTTGGTGATGGAGCTTATTTACCTAAAATCCCCGTCAGGAGTCTGGGCCTGCGTCAACATTTAGAACATAGAAGTGTCGGATCTCTGGTATCTCCATATAACAAAATTCGTGTTAATCTTAAGCATTTCCTTCGAGATCGCGATACTGAAGAACTATGTTTGATTTGTTCACCTGCAATTTCTCGAAATAATACCAGCAATAAATTCTAAACAATTTCCCTAGAATTACAGCAGTACCAATGGGAATAGTTTAGGAATATTTATATTAAAGTTAAAAAGGTTAGATATACCTAGGTCACTTAACTATGTAGCAAATTTAAGGTGTCAATCATGAATTGTTAATTCTTTATCGCGGCTCTTTCTGTTTCATATTTCATGTAAGACCGCAAACAAACTCTTACGTCACTTTACGAGTTACGAAAAAAAAATCAAAATCAGTATATCCTCCCTCTTCGTTATTTTGCGTCAGCAAATGAGAGGAAGCTTCAGGAAAGCAGATGTCGCCTTAGAGTCTGATAATTATCTCAGATTTCACTTTCTTAGCGGGCAATATAGAATTACATTAGAGAACTCATCGTTAGGCCATGTTTTACGTTGAAATCTCGCATTAGCTTTTCTTGAATTGCGTCAGATTGATTAACGACCGTAAACCATCTGGGATTGATAGTAAGAAAAGGAATTAACCAATTAACGATTAAACATGTCCGTCGGGATTAACGATCCGCCATTTTATAGGTTCATTATTAAGAGCTCCTAAGCGAATTCATGATTTCTGTCCGTCTGTGTCCCTACATGATAACTCCCGAACGATTACGAATTTTCCAGTTCTGTTTTCAGTGATAGGTAGAAGTAGTCAAGCGACTAAGTGATTAATTTTTTGTCAATACTGGTTAATCGGAAGAGACCTTGTCGCTCGTTGTCTATATTGATTTAGTTTATTTCCTTTTCTTCATCATAAAATTACATTGGGTTGCGATTAATACATTCAACGGGTACCTAATCATAAATAAAAGGTGGTTTTATCTATGATCTATGACGAATAATTATACCACAGTATAATACATACATATTATTATTATAGAGATGTGCGGTTAATTCCTAAGATGAGTGTTGCTGAAAAAGGAATACCTACCAATGACAATTTTTTTTAAACCCAATCAACCAAATGGACATGAAGCTGTTTCGGGTCAGACCGATTCGGTCCCGGCGCTCATTTCGGTCCTCGTGGTTTTGGTCTAACAACTTAATTGTGCTCAAACGGGCACTAACGAACTATTTTTTCTCCTAAAACGCAGCCGTGAAAATTGCATGTCTCTTTGAGAACTAATTACTTCACGAAACTAACAGCTATGGTCAATAAATTTTAAATTATTTGCCAAATATTCGTTCTTAACGTTTTGACCTCAGCAGTAGACTTCTGCCATGTACCATGAAGGACCAGCCCCTCCTTCCCCCAACCAAATTTTGAATTTTGATTCAAGACGTTGCCATATTTTTTCCGAGATTTGTATAGGTATAAAAACCGGGATCCGGGATAGTGCAGCTAATTTCGGGACAATCCCGGAAAATCCCGGCCATGTGGCAACCCTACTTAGATATATCCTTAATTACAAATTGCAAATGTAACTAAAGTAAATTAGTAATAGTAGGTTTTCTTTGTCCATATTTGTAAATTCAAAGTGTAATTAACTTCCTTTAAAAACAACAAACTAGTTCTTACAATTTATTCCAAGGTACACCGTACAGCCCCATAAACGATGTATCATTTTGTGAGACATTATACATAGACGCAAGTGTGCTTAAGTTACTGTCCATTAATATAACAAATAAAAAAGTAGGGCGATTAACTTCAACGCATTTTCCAGGCATTGATCAGTACTTTCCAAAAGCCATAGCCATGTGCGCTATGTTTGTCTTTACTAGAGGTATTTGTGGTTAATATTTCAAAGACATATCTTCATCAATAAGAAAGTTGACACTGCGCAGAGTGCGTATAAACGGCGCATGCGCACATCTAATGTTTAGAATATGAGATATGTTTGCTTTAAACAGAAGCAGTACCTGTGATAAAAATTTCAAAAAAATATTTTGACAAATAAGACAGTTGATATTACACATGCGCACATTAATCTGATGTTTACAATATGCGATACGTTTGCTTTCACTAAAAGCATATTTGGTTAAAATTTCAAAGAAATATCTCCATGAATAAGTTAAGTAATAAGTTCATTGCTCAGTCCGCGCATTAGCACATCTGATTTTTACTATATGCGATATGTTTGCATTTACTAGAAGTGTCTGTGGTTAAAATTTCAACAAAATATATTAATAAATAAGAAAGTTGATATTGCACAGTCAGCGTATGCGCACATTACTCGTCAAGATTTTTCTTGGTTGAGGTGACAAAGCTATAAGCTACCGAATGCAAAAAGAACGAAATAAATATCTTGAAAACTGTGGGAATAGAAACCTAGGACGGACAGACGGACGGACAGAGAAAGTGGCTGGCAATAGCGCACCCATCTTCCTTGGAAAATGCGCTAAAAATATAATCGGATTATACAAAGAGCGAGAGGAATGTAATAGACTTTTTTGTCGATATCCATATTTATTGATTTTAACGAGATCGTTTTTCTGAATTCCGTATCTTCCAAACAAAGGGGCGCCCCATACATTTTTGCGCCCAGGGCCCCCAATTGGTTAAAGACGGCTCTGCAAACAGCATCTGGGAAAAATAATTCATGCGGAGGAAAGTTATGAAGGTCGTCTAGCACTCCTTCAAAGTATAGAGGTTCAGGTTTCCAAGTGCACGGGTTATACTCTCTTTAATATTTTTGCTTATGGAATATCTGGATTTATTGAAATATCTTTCTAAAAATCTGATACAAGAGAACAGAATACCGAACGATCTTCAAGATCCCATCCATCGTTTTCATAGTACATCTTAAGGGGTTGACTCGGTGATCCCACCAGATCAGCATAGCTTGTAAAACAATTTTCTTGATTCGGCATTAGTTTTATTTCTATTCGAGGTGCCTACATACAAAATTTCATTTTCCCATCTTAACAAACAAAAAAATTGGATTGCGCAGATACAAAAGTTGGGGCAAATTTTTTATGTATCTGCGTAGTTTCTTGAGGTTTAAGGAATATTTGCTAACACAGAAAACCGGACATTCAATGTACAAACAACAAAAATTATACTTTTCAGGTGTGGGCAGTTTTTGGGCTGTAACTTTTTGGTGCGTTAGTTTACTCAGCTGAAAAACAATGGCGACATTTCTTATATCCTTAAGGATATGTGTACCCATTTTCAAAATGATCGGACGTTTCTACACAAAGTTATCGTGCATACGGGCGACAAACGGACAGACAGACAGCAATACAAAATTATGAACGGTCACGAGGATCGTTAATAAGTAATAACAAAGAATCAACGAACTCGATAACGATAAATAAAGTATGGATACGTGCGCATGCAAGATGCAAGTTTAAAAATGTAATTACGATGCTAAAGTAAATCGATTACAAATTGTAATCAGTAATTAAATACAAATTTTGTAAAGTAGGTACCTAATCAAATACCTACGTAAATACTTTTATGATAAAGTAATTTGTAATCAGTATTCGAATACTTTTTGGAGTAATCATTCCAGCTCTGCTTGCAAGTATAGTGCTTAATTATGACGATATGAAATAGGAATACGATATGGGAAGAATATTTAAACTCGATTACCGATCATGTTTTGTGTTTTCCCGCTTCGATAACTGATGCCGATCGTTTCGTGACAATAATGAATGTAGTTTCTAATATGGGCGTATTGAGCTACTCTCAACTAGGTGGCAGCATGTACCGGTACATCTTTTTACAATCATCAAGAATTGGCGCGAACCGGTTGGCTTACTATTTGTATTATACTATGCCAATAGGGTCCTTATTAACCCCTCAAAAATCGCACTTTGTCGCATTGGTGGAACTTGGAAAAAAATGGCCGCCATCTTGATTTTTTTCGAATTTATTAAATATTTCGTAAAGTATACATTATATCAAAAAAACTCAAGAGACTTTTTTTATGGAGAATCAAAAGTTACCTATAATAAAAAAAAGTTTAAGTCTATTGATCAAAAAACAAAAAAGTTATTGAAATTTATATGATTTGGCAATATGGATTTTTTTAAAATTTGGTAAATATCTGAATTAGTTAAAACTGTTTTGTATGCCCAATTTTGAAAATAAGGATTTTAAAGTAAAATACTCAATAATTGGGTAATTATTCACATCTGTGTCGAGTCTTAGATGTATTTCAAAAACGTAATGCAGAATTAGCAGTTTTAATTAAATCAGGACTTAAAATTATTTTAAATCTGTACCGGTGTCCAAAGAAGATTCATGATTTAATGTAGCAGGTAAGTAGAGGGAGGCAAATAATTGAATGTTTTTATTTTCATTAGGTTATCGGCTCACTACAGTCGTTTATATATTTTAGCAAGGTCTGATGATGAAGTGAGCTTCGAAATCGATAACCTAAAGAAAATAAAAACATTTAATG